TCCACCAGCAATACATGGTAATTCTGGTTGTTTTGCATCCTGGGCAGCGTTTGCTACTTGTCAGATCTTTTCTCTCTGGTCTTTCTTTTAGTATTCCAATAGGAATATTGTGGTATTTCACTGTGCTTTTCATTTGCATTTCTTTAATAACTAATAATGTTCAACATATTTTCAGATGTTTATTTGTCACCTGCATATCTTTTTTTGTCTGTTCAGAGTTTTGTCCATCTTAAGGTTATGAAGACTTTCTCCTATATTTTCTTCTAAGAGTTTTATAGTTTTATATTTAAATCTGATTTACTTTGAATTAATTTCTATATTAGGTATACACTGCAGTCCAATCTTTTTTCATATGGATGTCCAATTGTCCCAGCACCATTTGCTGAAGCACTTGTCTTTCTCCATCCTGAACTGGATTTGCACCTTTGTTAAAAATCAGTTGACCCTATTTGCTGGGTCTATTTCTATACTCAATATTTTGTTCCTTACATCTCTCCCTCTTACTATTTTGCTAATACCTGTCTTATTTATTGTAACATTAGAGTAAGTCTTAAAATAAGGTACTACCATACTTGTCTTTTGGCTATTCTAGTTTCTTTGCCTTTCCATTATAAAACTTAAAATAAGCTATCTATGAATATAAAAAATTTACTAGGATTTCAACTGGAAATGCATTAAATCCTAAGGTGAATTGACATCCTAAATATACTGAGCCTTCCAATCCACAGAAATGGTATTTCTTTCCATTTATTTAGGTCTTCTTTGATCTCTTCAACACTTTATAGTTTTTAGCATATATATATTCATTCCACATATTGTGATATTTATATCTATGTATTATATTTTTACAGCTATTATAAATAGTATTATTTAAAATTTTTTAGCTTCCAATTGTTCTGTTGCTACTATATATAAATACAAAGATTTTTGGATATTAACCTTGAATCCTGTGAACTTGCTCATTAGTTTTAGGTGATTTTTGTAGATTCTTTGGGATTTTCTACACAGATAATTCTGTTTTCTGAAAACAGAAATAGCATTGTTTCATTCCAATCCAAATGCCTTTTGCTTCTTTTGGGCTTTGAAGAGGGGTGATGAGAGCATATTTTTTTGCCTTGTTTCTAATCTTAGAGGGAAAGTATTTAGTATCTCCCCAGTAAGATAATAAATATAGGGTTTGTTTTGTTTTGTTTTTGGCATATGCCCTTTGTCAGGTTGATGAAATTTCCTTCTGTTCCTAAGTTAGCTGAGAGTTTTTACCACGAGAAAATGTTGAATTTAGTCAAATGCTTTTTCTGCATCTACTAAGATGATTATGTGGGAAATTTTTGGTCTGTTAATATGGTAGATTACATTGTTTTCTTTCTGAATGTTGAAGCAGCCTTCCATTCCCAGGATAAACCCCACATATTTATGTTTTCGTGTGTGTGTGTGTGTGTGTGTGTGTGTAGAATTTGATTTGCTAACATCTTGTTGAATGTTTTTGCTTCAATGTTCATGAGATATTAGTAGCAGTCTATGTTTCTTTTCTGGTACTTTCTGTCTCATTTGGTATCATGGTAATGCTAGTCTCATCAAATGAGTTCGGAAGTAATCCTTCCTCTTCTGTATTCTGGAAGAGATTGTGTAGGACTGTTGTTATTAGTTTTTTAAAATGTTTGTAAGAATTTAACAGTGAAACCATTTGGGCCTCGAATTTTCTTTTTTGGAAAGTTTTTAAACTATGAACACAACTTACTTAATATATGTAGAACCATTTAGGATACCTATTTCTTCTTGAGTATTATTAGTTTGTCTTTTTGAGGAACTGACTTATTTCATATCAGTTGTCAAATTAATGTGCACAGAATTGTTTGTAGTATTCCTCTATTAACCTTTAATATCTGTGAGGGCTATAGAGATATACTCTTATTCATTCTGATTAATGTAATTTGTGTTTTCTCTTTTCTTCTTGGTCAGACTAACGAGAGGTTTAAAATTTTCTTGATCTTTTCAGAGAACCAGCTGTGGGCTTCACTAATTTTCTCTACTAATATATTCATTTCAAATTTTAATTCTTTTCAATTATGCTTTTTATTATTTCCATCTTTCCATTTCCTTTGGGTTGACTTTGCTCTCCTGCTAGTTTCTTAGGGTAGAACTTTAAATCATTGATTTTTCTTTATTTTCTTTTAATACCTCTCTTACTTATGAAGGGGTCTTGTACCAATATACCCATTAGTAGGTTGAAGATATCATAAGTCAAAAATGCATTTTATAACCTAACCTTCCCAACACTATAACTTAGCTTAGCCTACTTTAAACATGCTAAGAACACTTACATTTGCCTACAGCTGCAAAATCATCTGACACAGAGCCTATTTTATAATAAAGTACTGAAATTTCATGTAATTTATTTAACACTATACTGAAAGTGAAAAGCAACAGCTGTATGGGTACAGAACAGTTTCAAGTGCATCAGTTGTTTACCCTCATGATCACATGGCTGACGGAGCTGCGGCTTGCTGCTATCCAGCATCAGGAGAGTTTCCTACCACATATTGCTAGCCCAAGAAAAGACCAAAATTCAAATTCAAAGTAGAGTTTCTACTGAATATGTATCATTTTTCACTGTTGTAAAATCAAAAAATCATAAGTTGAACCATCATTAAGTCAGGGAGCATCTGTATACCCACTTAATGTTATATATTTCCAAGAACTGCTCTAGCTGCATTCCACAAATTTATGTTTTTTTAATTTTCATTCAAATGAAACTTTAAAGTATATTTATTTTCCCTTGAGACTTACTCTTTGACACATGGATTATTTAGGAGTGTGTTGTTAACTTCCAAGTATTTGGGGATTTTCCGGATATCTTTCTGTTAAAGGTTTCTAGCTTAACTCCCTTATCGTCAGAGAACATACTATTTATGGTTTCAAGTCTTTTAAATTTGATAAGGTTTATTTTATGATGTAGGGTATGGTATACCTTGGTGAATGCTTCGAGTGCACTGGAGAAGTATGTGTATTCCATTGTTGGTTGGAATATTCTGTAAATGTCAGTCAGGTTAAGCTGGTTGACTACTATTCAGGTGAGTTGTATATCCTCACTTAGACTATTTCACAGAAAAGAGTACTGTTGACATCTCCAGCTATAATTTTGGATAATTTCTTTCTCCTGTCAGACCTGTTCATTTTTGCCTCATGTATTTTGAAATTCTATTAGTTACATACACATTTAGGACTACTATGTCTTCTTGATGAATTGAGGCTTTTATCATTATGTAATATTCCTCTTTATCCCTGGAAACTTTTTTGCTCTTGAGTCTACTTTGTGCAATATTTATATAGCCACTCCAGCTTTGTTTTGATTGTTTGCCTGGTACATCTTCTTCAATCCTTCTATGTTTAAATTATCTACATCTTTATATTTAACATGGATTTTGTTAAACAAAATATTTTGTTTAATCCAATCTCATAATCTCAGTCTTTTATTTGGTGTGTTGAGAACATTTATATCTAAAGTAATATTTGATATGAATGGATTTAAGCAAGACTTTTCAGTTTTCTCTGCCTCCTCTGTTTTCATCCCTGTTTCCCCTTTCCAATTTTCCTTTAAATATATTTTTTCAGAATTCTATTTTGGTTTATCTATTGGCCTTTTTACTGTATCTTACAGTTTTTTAGTGGTTGTTCTAGGAAATTATATGTATTTAACATTTCCTGTTTACTCAGAATTAAGAATTCTCCGCTTGAAATGAAATATAGAAATTTTATAAGAATATAGGTCCCTGTACTCTTTTCCTCTTATACTGCAGTTGTCCAATGTAGCACATCAAAATATACTGAAAACCTTACTACAGTGCTATAAATTTTTTCTTTCAACTGACAGATTATCATAAAAATCTTCGGAGAAGAAAAGTAGTCTATTGTATTTAACCGAATATTTACTGTTTTGTTGCTCTTCATTCCTGAGGTTCATTCCAACTTTCCCACTGGTATTATTTCTCTTTTGCCTGAAGAACTTTCTTTAGTATTTATTTTAGAACAAGTCTGCTGGTGACAAACTCTAATTTGTCCTTCATCTAAGAATGTCTTTATATGTCCTAAAGAATATTTTTGCTGGACATAAAATTATAAGTCAACAGTTTTTCTCCTTCAGCACAAATAAAAGAAACATTGTTCTGTCTTCTACCCTTCATGCTTTTGTATGAGAAATCTGCAATAATTTTAATCTTTGTTTCTCTGCATGTAATGTGTTATTTCTCTCTGGCTGCTTTCAAGATTTTTTGTTTTTGTTTTCAGCAAGCATTTTAATGTGTCTAGAAGTGGTTTTCTTAGATTTTATCCTCTTTTAGCTTGTTGAATTTGTAAATTTATTTCCTTCACTAAATTTGCAACATTTTCAGTCATAATTCCTTCAAATATTTTTTGCACCTATCTCTCATTCTGTTCTCTGGAACTCTAATGACACGAATGTTAGACCTGCTATTGTCCTGTAGGTCCCTGAGAGTGTTCACCTTTTTCCAAATCTTTTTTCTTCCTTCTCTGTTGTTCAGACTGAATCATGTCTTTTGTTCTATATTTCAAGCTCATATTTTTTTCCCCTTGTTACCTCCATTCTGCTATTAAGTCACATTATCTGTTTTTTATTTAGTCTTGTATTTTCGGTCTCACAGCTTTGATTTTTACACTTTACTTTTAACCCAAGGGTAAGTGTCTACTCTCAATCTTCAAGGGATTGATATTTCTAGTGAAGAAGAGGCTACAGAATCATTCTTAGTTTGCTAATGTCAAAAAGCAATGATTAAAATGGAAATGGCAGGAGTACTATATAAGAAAGGATTGTAAAATGATCCAGAAGTAATGGACTCTAATTACAGTACTTGCCACTAACTTTTTTGTCTTTTTTTCTCATCTATTAAAGAAAAAAGAAAGTTGAGCCAGTAACACTTAAAGTTCTTTTCAGCATCACATTCTAAGTATACATTATATCTACTTGGAAAAATATAATATCTTACTTTTTCAATCTGCTTTTCCATTTCTTTATGCTGTTCAAGATGAATTTTTTTTGCCTTTTCAAAAGCTAAACAAATTTTCTCATGCTCTGTATTCATATTGGTTTCTAGACTTCTTATCTTTTCATTCCTTTCCTAGAATTACAAAAACACTTCAGAAGAAAATAATTGAGAACTAATTTTATATAAAAGTACATTAGTAAACCATTAGTCATTCTCTTTTCTTTATAGAATAGTAGTTACTATGTGAAACTTCAAAAATAGTTAATTATAAAAAAGACAAAATGGTTATTTAAAAAAATTGTATCAAAATCAGATTAAACTATTTTAAAAATGGAGAAGCATATCAAAGAAGTATTATTTCCTTCAATTTTACTAGAATAAACATAAGAAACATTAAATAATAACTTGCCATATAAGTTTATTAACTTAAAAGAAAGAAACAAAACATTAATAATCAGAAGAGTTTAACAGAACTTATACTTTCCCATTTGGCACATCTTACAATAATGATACTAAAACAAACATTCTGTCACAAATTAAGTGCCTTAATATCACAGTGAATTAGTAGTCAGAAAAAGTAATTTTTACCATAAGCTCTTGCTCTAGTTCTGCATTCTTTGCAGCAATAGAGGAATAAGCAACTATTTTTTCTTCCAGCTGTTTCTCTAGAGTTAAAAGCTGAGAACATTTCTTTGTCATCTAAAAATGCAATGAAATAAATAAAAAATATTTCTAAAAATTATTTTTAAAAATAAGTGACAGTTTAGGAGAAAAATACTGAAGGGAGGATCAGAGACATAACATAGCTTGTTCCATCTATGTAATACGTAAGTAATTTAATTCAAGCCCCTATGTCCAAGTAGGATTGCACCCTAACTCATTTCTTAAAAGTAGCTGTTAGAGACTGAAATTAGTATAATAAAATGTTAACAGTAATTATTTCTGGTGATGGAATTATCAATGATTAATTATCTTCTTTTTCCCTTTCTGTATTTTCAATAATACAGAAATATTTTCAGAACAGAAATATTTTCAACTGTGCTAATTTTATAATTTAAAAAGTTATTAATGTCTTACTTGACAATTTTCTAAGTAAGCTGATGGCTGCAGTTACAGACTGACTCAATTTCCCTTTCCGCTGTTTACATAAATTCCTATCCCAGCAATCTTTTCCTTAGTCTTGGCTACAGATTTTAAGATAAGAAATCAGACATTTAAAAAGTGTCCCCAGTGACAACTGCAGCTTCTGGTGTGAAGGTTAAGTATAACATACACATGAGGTCTTGGTCCAAAATTACCTAGTAAAACATTCCTGTTCTGACCTCAGTGGAAGTGAAGATCAAATATTCACAAAACATAATTATTCCCTTTTTCAGAATGTAATCCAAGCATATCTGTATCAGATTCATATGCAGTTGTTTAAAAATATATTCTTGGGCCTTATTTTGTATCTACTGAATCAGAATCACTGGAACAAGATCCAGAAATCTCCAAGTTTAACAGGGTTCCCATGTGGTTCTGCTGTTTGCTAAATTTGAAATCCTCTATTACCACTCCTTTTCTTCCAGTTACATAATCTAAATTCTATACTTGTAAATATGTGTTAGCTATATTAACTTACACTTCAGGAAATAATACAGTGTGATACAGTGTAAGTTCCACCAAATCTGAGACCTTTTAGCCACTAGAGTGTGTTTTCCTACTTTCATCATAAAATCCAAAGGTTTCCAAATACAAATTTAAAAGAACTTGTAATTTATACAATACCATTAATTTTTTTAAATGTGTAAATCGAGACTTACAATCTTTACAAAGCCCTATAACAACATTTCTTTTTCTTGTCTCAAAATTTAGTATATACGAACAGCTAAATTCAAGCTTACTTCACTTTCAAGTTTGCGAGAGTTTGAAGCTTTCTCTAGCAGCTCCTCTTGAATCAGCTGAAACTGACTAGTTCTTTGGGCCATATTAACTTTCAAATCAGAATTCTCAGCTTCTATTTGCACCAACTTTGTCCGTAGTTCTTCTATTCCAGAAGCAAGCTTTTGCCTTTCTTTTTCATATTGTTTGTTCACAGTATGTTGATTTTGACCTTTTATACTTCCTGCTAATAAACATATAAGGAAAATTGTTCATATAAAACTTAGAATAAGAACCTATTACAATTTGATTCAATCATAAAAAAGTTTAGTTTCTGATCTAAAGAAAACTAGAGCATGGAAAGTGAGACATACATTAAATGAAGACATATAATAAGTAAGGCACTTTCTATGAAATACATAATGAAATGGGAATAAGTTCTTCTGAATCACTTACTTTTCTAGATTCCTTCATACCAAAAAGATAATTCCTTTGTGCCAGAAAGAGTCTACTCTACCTTTAAAAATCCCATATATTGGACATAAATCATTGAAAAAAAATCATTGTTAAAAAAGCTGTCCTGTCTCCTTAAACTGAAGTTAATCATAAAATCCTTTTTGATAACTTGAGATCATTAAGAATATTTTGAAATACTGTATACAGATGCAGATTCAAAAGCTGATAACACTAATCCCTCCTTAGTCCAAATTAGATGAGTTCAATGATGTTTTTAAAACTACTGAGGGTTATCAGAGGCAGCGGTTTGAATTCACCCTTTCTCTATCATAAAAGTATACACTTACCCCCACCCCCAAGGCAATCAAGCTTACAGGAGGAGTGCTTTAAAGAGGTATAATACAGATGCCTGTGAGAACACACATAGATATGGAAACAAACAGACATACTATGCCTTCAAGAATTGGATAAGTAGTCCTTTCCCATCAATTCTCCATATCCCTATAATTTTACTTTCTAGGCCATCCATTCATCATTGGCTCTGCTCTTCTTTGATGTCAGAGACTTTATGACATATTATATTTATCACCACCTATAATTAGCCTTCCCTCTGCTAATCCCATTATTTGTTTCCCTATTCCAATTATTTAGATATTTAATTTCCTCTGCTATTTCTGCTGCTAACATCCAATATTTAAAGATCAACCATGAGAAAGATGCATGTTAGCCATTAGGGCAACCACTAAAATAATAAATGGGTATAGTTAATTAATTATTAGCAGAGATTAAATAAATGGAGTACTAAATAGAAGAGAAGAAAGATGAACAAAAGACCAATAGAATAAATATCAAACAAATACCAAGATGGTAGACTTAAAGCCCAAAAAGACCATTTATATTAAATGTAAGTAAACATTACAATTAAAGAGCAAAATATGATTGTTTATGAAGAAAGAAACTCACCCTTTTTATCAGAAACTCACTTATATACAAAGATAAAGATTAAAACCAATGGAAAAGTTATACCAGGCAAATTGATAAA